AACTTTTTATTATTTTTATAAAAATTCTTATGGATTACATTTTTTACATTTCAGCAAGAAAGATATAATGACATCATCTAAATTAAATAAAAATAAATATTAATTAAATTTAATTTTAAGTTTACAAAAATGTTTAAATAACTTTAATTTTTTTATTGCTAAAAGTACGGTAGTTTGATATAATTATTTTATGTATATTTGAGATAGAATTTCAAGTTTTGATAGAACTCGAAAAAAAACTTAAGAATTATATTTTATTGTACGAGAGGAGGTTGTTCTACAAAGTTAGTTATAATATCAATTTTAACTTATTATTTGGTATAGTGAAAATGTGTTTATTAAACATGTTTATTATAATATTATGATTGTGCTTGATTATATGACACAATATGGACATTCATAAACATCGTAGTTGCATTTTTACATAGGGTGGCTGAATTTGTGTCTTTTGCATGTCAACAAGCATATTTTTCCAATAGAAATATTAGATGTCCTTGTTGTAAATGTAAAAGTCTAAAGTTCTTAGATCTTGAAGAAGTTAAAGTTCATCTTCATCAAAAGAGATTTATACCAAGTTATTGCTATTGGACATGTCATGAAGAAAGTGACCCAACTTTATGTCAAGTATTTAACACTCGTCCTGATATTACAAATAATGTAAAGCATATTTTTTCAATAGAAATATTAGATGTCCTTGTTGTAAATGTAAAATTCTAAAGATCTTAGATCTTGAAGAAGTTATAGTTCATCTTCATCAAAAGAGATTTATACCAAGTTATTGGTATTGGACATGTCATGAAGAAAGTGACCCAACTTTATGTCAAGTATTTAACACTGGTCTGACATTACAAATAATGTGGAAGATGTTCATTATGAACACTTTAGTAGATTTGAAAGCATAATTTACGAAGTTATTAGTTTAAGGTATCAAACGCATTACAATGAAGAAGTTAATGAGTCTCCTAATATTGATGCTAAAAATTTCTATGATCTACTACATGTATTATAAAAGCAATTATGGCTAGGATGTAATGATTATGTAGTAATTTATTATAAAATTTATTTTGTATCAAGTAGTAATTTGTAATTTATGTGTATACATACTTTGTATTAATATATGTGATTGCATTTGTCTTAAACAAAGTTAACTGGAAATGCTCTTACTCCATTAGAATTATTTCGTCACACACACCAACATAAGAAGAATAAGATGAGTGGATAAGAAATCTGCACATATAGATATAAGTCAAACTTTTGTGTAATTTTGTTGTGTTTACTGTATGCTTTTAAGGTTATTACCTTATATTATTGTTTCTAACAGGAAAAATTTACATGCAAATGGGAGAGGAAGCAACACAAATATCATCTTCTCAAGGAACCCCTCTATTGAGTGAGTTAAATGTGTGGCATGAGGTAGCTAGAACGAAAAAGGGAAAGAGTATATGGCTTTGGATTGGAGTCCACTGTCGTAGCTGGGAGACTTTTTTATCATGGTTCAAGTTCTTCATCATCTGAGTGGCTACAAAGGGAGGAACTTCAAGAATTGAAAAAAAAAAATTAAAAGAAGTTCAAACTAAAAAGGATGACCTCGGTACTAGGGTGGCAAATATTGAAGGAGATATTCAATCGAATAATCAATTGTTACAAAATATAATGAAAAAGATGAACTTTCAACCTTCTGTTTTACAATCAATGCAACCTATTTGCAAAGAAGTAACAAATGGAGAGTCAGAATGAAATATTTAATGTTTGTTACCTTATATTACTTGACATATCTTTTTCTATTGTGTATTGTGTATGTAATGAGAGACTTTAACAATTTGTATTGTATTTTAGAGCTTATTATGTATTATCGTGTATAGAATTAAAGACTTATATAATGTGTATTGTGTATGCTAAAAGATGTTAATCATATATGAAGAATATTGTTATTATTGATGATATATCTATGCCTATCAGGTTCAATGATAATTAATTAGTTCACATATTTTAAAATTAATATTTAAATTATTAGTGACTAATTTTGACACCAAAAATTGATCTCTACATCAATTTTAAAATTGGTTACTAAATTAGTCTCTAAAATTCGTCAATAAATCATCATCAAGACCGGTCACAAAATTCATCTAAAAAATTGTCACAAAATTTGTTTCTAAATTAGTCATTAAAATTAGTTTCAAGCAAAATTTGATCACTAATTTAGTCTCTAAAATTAGTCATTAATTCAGTCTTTAAAGTTGGTCTCTAAATCAATATCTAAAGTCAATCATTAAACCAGCCTCTAAAGTCAGCACCAAATCAGTCTCTAAATTCTATCATTAATACCGTCTCTAAAGTCGGCCACTAATTCAGTCTCTAAAGTTGGTCACTAATTTAGTCTCTAAATTTGATCTCTAAATTATTTGTCGCTAAATTTGTTGTTAACCATTAGCCACCTAGCGACCCAATAATATCAGTCAGAAGATCGGTCACTGATTAGTTTAGCAACTGAAAATTTTTTTATTAGTAACTAAAATATCAGTCGCAAATAACTATTTTTCTTGTAGTGAGATAAAACATGAAAAGCCTATGAACTGTTAATTTAATAACAATTGAAAGAGAACTAAGTTAGGTTCACTTAATTATTTACCTTATTTTACCCTACAGATCTAAGACCCATTAACTATATGTAGTACAATTACCTATAATATAATTAATTATAGTATGTTCAAGAATTGCCAAATTTGACATGCAAATATAGCACAATACGATAAACACCAATCAATAACAGAAATACAAAATTATCATAAATAAAAAAAATTTCATAGATTCATGCAAAGAATATACCATAGATCTAGTTATAGATTTAGCTAGACATAATATATATATACACACACACATATATATATATATATATATAGGCAGGATCTTCTTACATCGGTGTAAATTTGAAAACTTTTACACCCAATCTGAGACTTTCATTTAACTTAAATTTTTTTTAGGAGATGAAGAGAGCTCTTAATCTCAAGATGTGCTCCCAAAGCTCTCGTCATCGTCAGCAACCGGCCAGCACCCAAATTGAAAGTGTAAAAAGAGATGAAAGATATGAGAGATATCAAAAGAATATCTACGTTGCTCTCTTAAGGTCTCTTTAATGGAGTTTAAAAATTTCAAAATTTCTTTATAGTTGGACTTGTCACAAGTAAGCACAGTCGTAGCTCTAACCACCCTGTGTTGGTTGTTACAAAATTCAATTTTCTATCTAATTTAGATCCAAAATTCACTTAAAACCTAATTGTGACTTTTTTATATTAATTTGCACAATAATCATAAAAATTAGTGTAAAAACTTAATAAAATAATGATAAAAAATAAATATATATTCTAAAAACATGTCAAAATACATACTTATTAGTTTATCTAAAAAAAAATTTTTAAAAATCTAATTTTAAAATATACTGTTTGTAAATACTCTATATTAATCCGTTGATAATTATTTTTATTATTTTTAAATTTTTGGTTTATAATTTTTGTCTATGCGTGTTACATAATAGGCTCTTTTTTTATGATTTTTTTTAAATTCAAAAAATATGAAATCTTTTGAGAAATTATAGAAATATAGAGTTTAAAAATCACCAATGATAATTTTTGGTGTAACACAAAAATTCATAAATAAAAAATTAAAAAAGTAATAAAGTTTCAAAAGTTGTTATTAACAATTTTTAAAAAATTAAAAATTACTGATAGCAATTTTTAAAAATATAATTAAATATTTAAAAAGTATATCAAAAGTTGACAAAAAATTGCTAATGATAATTTTTGAAAAAAATCATGTTTATATAATTTTACAAAAAATTCTATATTTTTTAATTTTAAATAAAAAACCATATATATATATAAAGTCCTTACACGATGTTTACGATAACAATTACAGATAGGTTTATACCAAAAAAAGAAAATTCTCAATTTAAAAATATATCATCTATATGTGTTAAAAAATAGATTTATTATTGTATGTAAAATCCGTATGTATTCTACTAGTCTTTAGCGGTGGTGGTTGGCGATACTTATTAAAAAAGAATTGTGTGAAAAAACTATTAGTGATATGTCCAAAATAATCTTAAATAGGAAATTTATTTTGAAAAAAAAATTAATAAATAGTTTGTAAAAATTTAAATTAAAAGCCTGTTAATATTTAAGTTGAAAGATTAGAATAAAAGTTTATTTTATATTAGTATGTTTTTATGTCTTTGACTACTCTTTCACATTTCTCGTTTTAAATATTTGTCTCGCAATCTACCTAGAATGTAAAGATAAGAAAAATATAAATAATTCTCCACGCCGATCACGGGCTACTGTTTTCAAATAATAAGAGAGTGTTGTTTTTTAAAAAGAAAAACAGTTTTTTATTTTTAAAAATAAAATTTAATATAAATTTGTATTTATTTTGTTTTTAAAAATATAAAACTGTTTTAAAACAGTAATTAAACATAGTTTTAGTGTTTAATTTTGAAAAGAAATATATAGTGATAAATAGTTTGTAAAAAATTAAAATTAAAAGCCTGTTAATATTTAAGTTGAAAGATTAAAATAAAAATAAATTTTACATTAGTATGTTTTTATATCTGGACTACTGCTCCGACAAATTTCTCGTTTTAAACGTTATCTTGCATTAGTATCCAGCGTAGAATATGGAAAGATAAGAAAAAGAAAAATAATCCTCCATGCCGACCACGGGCTACGGTTTTCAAATAAATAATGTTAGAGCGTGTTACTCGCGGTGTTACTCGCGGTGCTTCCCACTTCACTCTCTGTGTTTGTACTTAGGACTTGAAGAAAATATAAAATAATGATGAGAATGGGAATGACAAGGATAATGATTATGATAATGATTATGATTATATATTTTAAGCATGCAGTATATAACATATAGGAGCCGTGAGAGTTGTTGACAGAGAGCCGGCGAGAGAGAAGCGGTGAAGTGATATTACGTGTTACAGAGGAAGCGAAGGAAGAAGAGCAATGGAAATATCTCGACCACTGAGAATATACTTTCTCCCATTCTTCGCACAGGGACACCTAATCCCTCTGGTGCACGTGGCTCGTTTGGTGGCTTCAAGAGGTCAGCAAGTGACGATCGTCACCACTCCCGCCAACGCTCAGCTATTCGATAAGACCATTGACGAGGACAGAGCCTTGGGTTACCAAATCCGCGTTCACATCATAAAATTCCCCAGCAAGCTGGTGGATCTCCCTGATGGGGTGGAGAACTTGTCTGCAGCCTCTGAGGACGAAACAGCTTTTAGGATACACAAGGCATCTCATGTTATACGCCAAGAGATCGAGGCTTTCATGAAGCAAAGCCCTCCAGATGCTTTTATTCCAGACATCATGTTCACGTGGAGTGAAGCCTCAGCCCAAAGCCTCGGAATCCCAAGGCTCATTTTCAACCCTATCTCCATCTTCGACGTTTGCGTTATCGAGGCCATTAAGAGTCACCCAGAAGCCTTTGCTTCTGATTCAGGGCCCTATCACATCCCCGGTCTCCCACAGCCCCTTACCTTATCCATTAAGCCATCGCCTGGCTTTGCTGCGTTGACTGAATCTCTGGTCAACGCTGAGAAGGACAGCCATGGCGTTATTGTAAACAGCTTCGCCGAGCTTGACGTGGAGTATACCCAATATTACGAGAAGCTCACAGGGCGCAAGGTGTGGCACGTTGGCCCTAGTTCTCTCATGGTACAAAAGACAGTGCCCAGTGCGGTGGGTGATGAGCACGAGTGCTTGAGATGGCTCAGCTCCAAGGAACAAGATTCGGTCGTTTACATTTGTTTTGGGAGCTTGTGCATTATGTCAGATGAACAGCTCTGCGAAATAGCCAAGGGGCTTGAAGCCTCAGGACATCAATTCCTTTGGGTGGTTCATCGGGAAAACAAAAACGGTGAACAAGAAAATAACAATGGATGGTTGCCAGAAGGTTTTGAAGAAAAGATGAGGAAAGAGAACAGAGGAATGCTTTTAGAGGGATGGGCCCCACAACCCTTAATCTTAAATCACCCTGCCACGGGAGGGTTCCTAACGCATTGTGGATGGAACGCAGTAGCGGAAGCCATTAGTGCTGGGGTTCCCATGATCACCATGCCTGGTTTCAGCGACCAATACTATAATGAGAAGCTGATAACTGAGGTACATGGTTTTGGGGTGGAAGTAGGCGCAGCAGAGTGGAGCATTTCACCGTATCAGGGTAAAGAGAAAGTGATTAATGGCGAACGTATAGAGAAGGCTGTGAATAGGTTGATGGACGGTGATAAGGAGAGTAAGCAAATGAGAAACAAAGCCAAAGAGATGCAAGAAAAAGCTTGGAAAGCTGTTCAAGATGGTGGATCCTCTCACAACAGTCTCACGGCCCTCGTAGACTACCTCAAGAGCCTTCCCCATCCACCCCCAAATTAGCTTGCTCTGATTTCTACTTGTTCTCTTAACAAGGTTTTTAATATATTTTTATGGTTAATTTTTCTCAAAAGTTAACCTGTAAGTCATTCTAAGTGTATTAAGAAACGTGTTTAAAAGAATGATGTTCTAGCTAGCATTCCTCTGTGTTGAGGTTCCTAGTGATGATGTAACAATAAGATCTTTTGCAGCCACCGTGGTGCTGATATTTGTTCAAATTACTTAGTTATATGCTGTTCCAATTTTAATAATGCAAAGTGAGCATAATTAAGCTATGTTATTGAGTTACACAGTTCACACTCTAGGGACGCAAATTATTTTATGATTGTTGTTTGGGTTATAACATTTTTATAATCATATTTTATTATTATATCAACAATTTCGTTACTTTTTTCTTCCTTCTCTTATTTTTTTATACTGTAAAAAAATTTGTATAAAATGTTTATATAAATAGCATTTTTCTTGTTATTTTGTCTCGCATATTCTTAATAGAAAAACGAAAAAAAGTGTGGAGTTGAAAGTCCATGTTTGTCCTTGTTTTGCCCAATAGTTTTTATTCATGTTTGATAAAAAATGCCTTAAAAGTACAAGTTGAAGAAAACTCACTTAAAAAACATCACTTTATTTTGAAACGCAATAACGTACTTACAGTCAAAACTACATATGCATTGAGATGTCGCACAATATGCTTCGCTTTAGATATTTCATGGTGAGTAGAGATTAGAAAGCGAATCTTACTCACATTTGTCACGTTACATTTCACTGTGTATTGCTTCAAATCGCATATGATGCTCAATTTGCATGCAACATGTGTTACATCATACATGTAAGCAAATCACTTATGAGAGAGTGAAATCAATGATAAGAACGTACATCGCTTTGATGTTGAATTTTAGAAGTGATTCTATCTAATTTAAAATTATCATTAAAGTGCAGCTATAATGCTTACTTTATTATATTGAAATGCATAATCATATTGACGTAGAATTTTAAGTTTTGGTTTCAATATCCTGACACAATAACGAAAAAGAACAAGACACAACAAGCAAAGTGTTTGATTCAAAAGTTCTAAATAAAGTGATATCTCCTAAAAAAAAATTTCTGCAACTTCTATATTTTAATAAAATAAAAAATAAGATATGAAACGTGGATTCATAGAATATCAGTGTTTCTTGAGATTACTGATCAAGGTATTTCACTTAAAATATATCGATTAAATATATGGTTAATTTTATATTTATTAATCATAAATTTATATTTATGTTAAAGCTATATTAATTATGACTTTTATATTAAGTTCATGTTTATGGAATTGTTAACGTAAATTTGAAAGTGTACGTCTAGGATTTGTTGAATATGAAATTATTAATTTATGGACTTAGATAAATAAATAGTTTATATATATATATATATATATATATATATATATATATATATAGTTTTTATAAAAAATAATTGTTGGAATTAGTCCTACAATTTTTTTAAATAGTTCTTACCATTAGTTGAGAGTTGTCAAGAGGTAAATAAGTAAAAGATATTACACAACACACCTATTAAGTGAGATGTTAATTTTATACGTGGCAAAACTTAAATACAATGATGGTGTATTTATGCAAAATGAAATGAAGAGTTCAAGGTTTGAAATTATTTTTATTCTTTTTGTATTTTTTCTTGTGGAGTATACTCTACACCTCATATTTGACAGACAAGTTTATAATTTTGAGCGCATATTTTTCTATCAATTTTTCTATTATTTAGATATTGATTTATTTGATTGAATAACATTGATTTTCATATTATAGTAACAAGAAATGTTCAAAGAATAAATCAACCTTATTTGAAGTAACAAACATTTATTTGAATATTGTAATCTAAAAAACAAATTATCACTTTATGGCTGATTTGAAACAATTTCTCTCTGAGTATTTTGGGTGACGTGTCTACAAGTTTCGGCAAATATATAATATTGTTAATTGAATTTCGCCAATCGAATTGTGAAATGTATAAGCATTTGACACGTGTCACGTAAAGTAGAGTTTCACATATTTGATGGTGAAAATTTTTTTTTAATATATTTTTAAATTAATTTCGCCACAGGACTGGCGAAACAAATAAGAGGTCGACAAGTGTCAACAAGTTGTCTAAATTCGCCATTTTAGTGGCAAAATTATCAAAAAAATCGCCCACAATACTGCGAAACTTACAGACTCTAATTGCAAAATTTGAGCACTATATATACCCCAACTCTCCTCTCATTTTCACCGTAGAAGGGCAAATTAGAAGAAAATCAGGTATGTGTAATTTAATAATTTTATTATTTAATTTTTAATGTATGAAATTAGTTATATTTAATTAATGAGTATTGTTTATTTTATTTATGTTAATTATTGTAAAGTTTAAATATTAAATAGTTTATTTTTACAAAATGCAGGATGAGTGGGATTGTTATTATTATATATTGGAATGGTAGAATCTATGAAGGAAATGAAGGAGTAAGTTTTGAAGGAAGTAAAAAAGTAATTCAAATAAAACGAGGAATAAGTTATGAAACATTGAAAAGAAAAATTCATGTGAAACTTAATCTTAATCATAATCAAGTGATTTCTAGATTAATTTCTTGTTTTTTGATTGATGAAAATATTAGACAGTATACAGTTTTGAATATATGTGATGATGAAGATATTGATTGTATGATAAGTGCATTTCAACAACAATCTAGTAGAAATATTATTGAGTTATACGTAGATATTGCTGTTGGTGGAAGTTCATCAATGTCTTTACAGACGATGAATTTTAATTTATCACTTTCACAACAAAATGATAAGACCCATATGAGTCGTGATTATAATGAAGGTAAAATTATTTTTGTTCTAATATCTTTTAAGTAATATATGTAATTGATTGAATTAAAACTGATAAATTTGTTGCAATAAAAGAGTTAAGAATGATGCTGATGAAGATAATGAACACTCAGATCATGAGAGTTATACTAATGGAGATGATGAAGTAGAAATTTCGTTAGGCATTTCTTCTACTGATGTTGAAGGCGAGTTTAATTCCAACTTACATATACAAGTAACCAAAAATGTAGGAGGTAATGTGAAATAATTATAAAGAATTGTTTTTTGTGGTTATTTATTTATATATTAATGATAAATATAATGCATGACATACTGTAATTCCTTTTTGGAATGTTACTCCAAAGTATAAGTATATTAATTGCGAATATCCTGATCAAGAAATGAATGAAGAACATCTTCAAGAAGTCAATTCATGGGTTGAAGGAGATTCTTTATTTGTTGGCTTATTTTTTGACAGTAAAGAAGATGTGAAGAATGCATTAAAACATTACGTAATGAAGATTCATCAAAGTTATTTTGTGGCTGAGTCTAAACCAACATGTTTGTACGTTAAATGCTTAAATCATACCTCTGGTTGTCCATGGAGAGTGAGGGCTTCATTGTTGAAGAATTCAAACAAGTGAAAAATTACTAGGTAGGGTGGTTCACATACATGTATCAATATGAGAATTTCTCAAGATCATCAAAAGTTAGATTCTGATTTAATTTGTTCATGCATTCTTGGTAAGTAAAATATCAAGTTTTTTATTTTATTTTTACAATGACATTGTTATTAACTTGAGAAAATTTATTTTATGTATGAATGGTGAACGAGGAACCGTCGGTACATATTTCATTAATACAAGAGCGAATATGTGCTCAGTTTGGATATAAAATTTCATATAAAAAAGCTTGGAAGGCGAAGTAAAAAGTCATTGTTAAAGTATTTGGTGATTAGGATGAATCATATGCTACCTTGTATTAATGAAATCATTATCACATTGTCACATTATCACATTGTAATGACATTATATTGTATTCATTGTAATATATTATAAATGCAAAAATCAAGTATATAAACAAAATTAAATAAATAAATTCTTTTTAAATATACTAACCTATATTCTATACATATTATAATTTATGCAGTATCAGTTTTATTTTAAATAAATAAATTCTTTTTACGTTTTCATACATATAACTAAAGATATATAAATTTTTAATTATTCTAAATTTTCATATTAAATTGTATTTAATACAATTTAATATAATTTATATAAATAATGTTACGTTATTTAAATACAAAACTCTAATTACTAACATAAAATTAAATTACATTTTATTTTTTTCATATTTCCAATTTAAATCTACATAAATTACATTTAGTTTATAATTATATAAATAATATTACATTTTTTAAAGTAAAAAATATTATTATTTATATACAAATTTTATATAAATACAAAACTCTAATTATTAGCATAAAATTAAATTACATTTTAATTTTTTCATATTTCCAATTTAAATCTACATAAATTACATTTAGTTTATAATTATATAAATAATATTACGTTTTTTAAAGTAAAAAATATTATTATTTACATACAAAATTTATTTAAATACAAAACTCTACTTACTACATAAAATTAAATTACATTTTTATTTTTTCATATTTCTAATTTAAATTTACATAAATTTTATATAAATACAAAACTCTAATTACTAACATAAAATTAAATTACAGTTTTATTTTTTCATTTTTCCAATTTAAATCTACATAAATTTCTTTTAGTTTATAATTATATAAATAATATTACGTTGTTAAAAGTAAAAAATTTTATTATTTACATACAAATTTTATACATACATTTCATATAAATTATGATTATTGCATTTAAAATTTTACAATTTTAAAATTTTACTTATTTTACAATATAGGTGTAAAAATTATTTATTACAATCAAACTAAGTATAAGTTATTATATTTAGTTTTATATAATTACTTTATTTAACTCAATTTTTATTATTCTGTATTTTAATAAATATCTATAACTTTTATAAATCTTAATTTAACCTATCTTCTTAACAATTAATTATAATTTTACATTTTAATTAACTATATCACATTTCATTTTTCTAAAAACATATTAATCTATATACAAATAAATAAAAAATATTTAAATTTTAAATTCTATTTTACTAACCTTTAATAAACTTTCAGCAAATTCTTCACTCACCTCCACTTATTTACCAAATCACCTGCATACAGTTTAAAAAAATTACAATATTATTATCAGATTTTTCAATTAGCAAAATCAAACTAAAAATAATATTTAAATGCATATTATAGCTCCATACCTCTTAAATTCGTAACAGTATTTGACCCTTCACAATGCAAATCAAAACAAATTTTGAAACTTCTGCCTGCACGACGATGGAGGAGCAGAGATGGAGAAAAGAAAAATGGAAACAAAGGAGGAGGACGGAGAAGGAAGAAGGACGTCGGTCAAGGTTATTGAAGAATTGGCCATGTGTCAATGTCTGAACGGTTTTGCTAACTATAGGGCGAAATAAACTTTCGCCAGTAGCAGCGCGAATCATCTCAGATGTTGCCACGTGTATCAAAATCTCCCCAGCCGTCCATTTTAAATTCATTTTATTAATTATTTTTAATTTTATTTACTTTTGCTATTCAAATGGCGAAATAGTAGTCGTTGGAACCATGTGTCAACATGCAATAAATTGCGCTCTGGCTGTGGCAAAACTTAGTAAATATTTCACCAATCAGGTTGCGAAACTAATATGTGTTTGACACGTGTTATTATCTTATTTATATCGTGCTTTTTGTGGCGAAATAAATATTAAAAAATTAAAAAATTAATTACTTTCGCCAGCCGTTATGGCAAAACCTGCAAAAAAAAATCCCAGATTGAGAAATTGTTTCAGATTTGCTATAAAATGATAAATTATTTTTTAATTTACAATATTAAAATAAATTTGTCGTGGAGTCTTGTGTAATAGGTACTGGACCCCAAATAAAATTCAAGAACTAACAACAAGTAACGGTCACATTGACAAGGTGCCAGACCTAGAGTTTGAGAAGATTAAGTAATGAGAGTAGGGCTCAATAAGGCTAGGCATTAGACACACACTTTAGAGAAATTAAGCAATGGATGTAGGGCCTAGTAAAGGTAAGAATTATACAAAGGGTCTAAAAATTTTAGTAGTAGGCATAAGGCTTAATAATAGCATGAAGAAAATAAAAGAAGACTTATTGAAGACAAAAACTTAAAAGTATTATAAAGACTTTAAAGACCAATGACAAGGGAAAAAGTAAAGAGGATGAAGGGAAACCTAAAGAAAATGGTGGCTACCTATTTGAAAGTAGGTCCAATTTGGAGTTAGAAGTGTTCAAGATGGTCAATTGCATATACTTAGAGAACTTAAACTCCAATGAGTTCTATTAAAATTTAATTTTTATGTTTATTATAGTTATTTTAATTTTAGTCATGACTTACTTTAGACTTTTATTTAGTATAAAAATTTGTTGTTTTATTTGATTTATTTGGGTTTGGATTGGTTATCATAAGAAGCCTATTAGGATTTGTGTTAATGTTGGTTTATGAGCACCAAATATATATAAACTCTAGTTTTAATATAATTTAAGATTGAATACTCTTGTGAGAGTGTGATTATAAGTTCTTAAGTGAGCTAATTTTCTTTGATTTTATCAGGAGACCAAGACTCTTGTATCAATTATTCTTTTGACTTATCAATTTTGCGTGGCGCTCTCCTCTATTTTTATCCTTTTTTTCACTTTTATTATTTTTCTTTGTATCTCAATTCTTATTCTCACCTTAATAATTTTGATTTTTGTTGTGTACAATACAATTTAAGATTATTTAATTCAACAACACATATCATGATTATCATCAATTGGTATCATAAGTTTTGGTTAGAATTTTTTATTGAAAGATATTATTCTTCGCATTCATCTAATATTGTTCATATGTCATTGTTTAAGGTATTATACATTTGATTACTATTCAAGGTACTCTTTGTTTTTCCAATTTTGGTGAGCTACTAATGTCTCAAATTAATGAATGGACAAGTGCACCCATTGTCACATCAGTATTACTAAAAAAGAGTACTAAGTATCGTATCTAAAAGGACTATTAATTAATATTCCTAATCCTTAATTACTCAATTGTTAAAGATGCAAACAAAGAAATTATGATGATAATTTCACTAATACAAAAAATAGCAAATAGAAAAAAAAACATATTTCAAGAATTAAAATCTATAAAATGGAGTTAAGTAAATGTAGATGAATAAAGTGAGTACCTAGATTATAAATTCTCCTAAGCATCCAAACAACTATATTCTTCCCTTAACTACTTAATTTTAATCTCTTAGAGCTACAAAAATTCCTAAGATAAGTTAATACTTTTCTCAAGGATAATAGCTAATAACGCTCAGTTGATTAACTGAAATCTCTTCTTTAATTAACACCTTATAGGTTGCATTAAATTTGATTTGTGAATTTCACTATTAGAGTTGTCTTTAATACAGAAGACTAATGTCATTCTATCTCTAGAGTTGCATTTAAGCCTTTTCAAATGAGTAATGACCAATTCATGCTAGATTTATACTCAAAATCAGAAACATGAAAATAAGGTAGGAGATAAATTGAATCATCAACTAACAAGTAAAATTACTCAATTGAACTCAAGAAAACAAAACTTGAAATAGTCTGAAGGAGAATTCCAAGAAATGATTACAAAGGATTCATTACATCTAGATACTTAAAAAAGAATTAGAAATTAAACATAAAGAAACTACAATTCAAAAGTAGAGAATAAAAAGAAAGTCTTGTTGTTATCCCCAGTTGTAGTCGTCACTATTTTCTTCCTTCAAAAAGTCCCCCTAGGTTTTTATATCATCCCCCTTTCATATTGGCAGCCTCCTTGCTCATTTTCTCACAGATGCTTAAATCTGATGCACGTCAATCTACACTTCCAGATACATGACCATGTACTTTCCTGTGTATATTCTTGATTCCTTAATAAGTCATTCCTTTAAGCTTATGATTGAACTACAGCTTGGAAACACGGTCATGTACTTGACCATGTATATCTCTACTTCAAATAATTGTTTAATTTATGTGATTCGAGAATTACACGAACATGTACATGGGCATGTACTTGCCCATGTAGATCTCTACTTTTACACTCAAACCAATTCCTTCAGTCTAAAAAGTACACGTGCAGATACCTGGGTGTGTGCTTGTCCATGTATCTTATTGGTTTTGTAGATTTTCAAAAGAGGTTGACATTGCTTTCCTTTTAAATTCATTGTCCTTTAAAAACTCTTATTCTTTATTCATTCTTCCTGAAACATGAATAAACAATCCGATTAATAACGAATTCTCATAATGACTAGCTTAATATCTCAATTATTACTCATGATTAAGCATAAAAGCATTTATCAACTAATGTGTATGTAATTTGCAATCCTTCAATTATTTTGGAACAGCCAATCACATTGCATCTAAAACAACCTTCTTTCTTTATCATTATAAAACATGAGTGTTACTATTTTTTTTTCCTATTTGTTTATTTAAAATTATGTAATCTTGTTAAAATTCTTATCAATTAGATGGATGATCGAGTTCTCTCTGGGTTTGTCCTTTTAAGTATTCTTTTTTATCTTTCAAAAATCCTCAATTAGGTATATTAAAATAAAATTACATTTTAATATATAATAAAAAATTATTTTAATCAATCTTTATATTATAAATTAAAATATTTTATTTGAGATTAAAATTGTTTAAAAATATATATATAAATTACACATTTTTTTTTTGCTATAATAATTTTATTTTTGCTCCATTTTTAATAAATTTTGTTTGAAATTTTGGAAATGAAAATTATTTAGGGTTTAGGCTTTATATTTATGAAATTTCTCTTATTAAACTTTCAAATTTTCTACAAATATCTTTATGTATATAAAAGTCATAATATTAAATATATTATTTCTATTATTTAAATTAAGTTATATTTTAAATTTTTATACTTTTATTGAATATTTGTCATTTCAATACTTATTATTTCTAGTTATATAATTAAGTTAAAATAATTTAAAATAAACATATTTTAAAATTTTTTATTGTATATTATAAATTATATTTATTTTAAAATGAAATACATGTGCATTATACATGTGCATTACATATCTACTAATTAGTTTTTTTTTATATAATTTAAACACAAAAAATATGGTCATGAACTAATTTTAATTAAAATAGAATTGAAAAAATCAATTTCATGTACAAAACAAATCCTTGGTGCATTGTTGGGAATTTAATAGAATAAATTAAAATGTGCGAAAATAGGAATTAATAGATATTTTTACCAAAAAAGAATTTGTAATTAGAGGAGGCTGCCACGCTCTATGCGAGGAAATCATGTCATCATGCTTTAGTGTATTTAAATCAACGTAATGTTGAAGTGCTTCATCGTCTTCGTTACTGTGTTATTATTATATATAGTAATATAACATGCGTGGCTCTCGTGGGGGGCCTTCATGGTTTTTAATTTTAAAAGGTTCTTAGCATTGTTGTTTTCATTATATTGGGAGCTAGAGATGATTAGTGTGAGCTAGCTACTTTCACTTCATCTCTCTTACTGTGACTGTAGTGCAAGAGGCAATGGGAGGATTAGGAATATCATCACTGAATTTGAATCTGACCCCAACTACCATTGCTATCAGTACCCTGGTTGCTACGGTGCTGATATGGTGGTTTTGGAGTGCGCTCAACTGGGTGTGGCTGAGACCAAAGAAGATAGAGAAGCGTCTCAAGGAGCAGGGTTTCCATGGCAATTCCTACCGCCCTTTGGTTGGAGACCTCAGAGACATGGTCAAAATGATCAAGGAAGCCAAATCTAAACCCATGGATCCTCACTCTAACGATATTGCACCCCGTGTTTTGCCTTTCGTTGTTCATACCATCGGTAAATATGGTCAGTCACTCTACACTAATTCACCTTCTTGTTTGTAATCGTTGGAACTTGTATGAAACTATCATCCTTGTATGTACGAGACTATGATTGCTCTAGAGAATTCTTTAGTCTTCTTTTTATGTCGTAGTCCTATTTCAAATAAGAAAAACTTAGGGGCCTTTATTTACGTGCAAGTTACCTTGTTAAACCCCGTTTTTTTATTGATTTTTTCCTTTCAAATATTGCTAACCACGTCTGGGTAATAAAAATACAGGGAAGAACTCGTTTATGTGGCTTGGTCCAAGACCCAGGCTTTTCATCTTGGATCCAGACAAAATCAGAGAAATTGCTACTAAGGTCTATGAATTTCAAAAACCCGAATCCAGTCCACTTTTCAGGCTTCTAGCATCAGGCTTTGCAAATTATGATGGCGACAAGTGGGCTAAACACAGAAAGATCGTTAGTCCAGCGTTCAATGTAGAGAAAATGAAGGTTAGTTTGCCGTTCGTCTCTCAGTCATTGTATCAAAGCACATGTAGAGGTATTTTAACGAAATCAATTTGTTTTACTATAGTAATAAGTATAACTAATCATTTTCTTAAGATGTGTGCATTTGGACGAGTAAGATCTAATATTGAGACGGATGGAGTAGCTACTTAGTACAGTTAGTTGTTTTGTACTTGTATATATTCTTGCTCTGTAAACATTTTAGATTTGGGTTCCATAACACAGCTTTCTTGTTACACACTCCAAATTTATCAAGTCTTGAGTTTCTTCTTTCACTCACGATGAGTTTTAATTTTCACAAATGTGATGTTCATTTCCTTATTCATAGATATTGAATAAGGGCAGTGTATCAAATTTTGTATATGTTTGTAAAGGGAGAACACAATTATCACATGACCAAATCCATTCACACTTCCAATGTCGACTGCTCCTTTCATAACTCTTAGAAATCGTAGTTAATCATAGCTTTATATGAATTATCTTTCAGCACTTAATTATCATTGGTGTTTATGTTACCATGTCAAAGTGAATTCATGATGGTCTCTGTTTATGATTCTTGAAATTGCCACAGCTCTTGGTACCGATATTTTCCCAGTGTTGCGATGATATGATCAATAAATTGGAGACTCTGGTATCTTCGTCTAATGGGTCATGCGAGATGGATCTGTGGCCTTTCGTCCAAAACGTGTCAAGCGACGTCCTTGCTCGCGCAGGCTTTGGAAGTAGCTTCGAGGAAGGAAGAAGAGTATTCGAACTTCAAAGGGAAATGCTTCAACTTACTATGACACTCTTTAGGTTTGCTTTCATTCCAGGGTACAGGTAAGACTACACTTCGTTTGGAACTCAAATTCAGTTGTTTGTTGCATGCAAAGCAGATTCAGTTCCAGGAGAAGGCATGTTGTACTTACACTAAAAATTTCACACACAAGGCGTACATTAAGATAAAAGTTGTAGGATGCATTTCACAAGCCATCAAATACAGAATTAAACTAAAAAGTCGATAGTTTGGTATCTCAAAATTAGGACAGATCATTTTATTTTGATTACTGAAGTTTGTAAATGTAGAGATTTGGTTATGGCCTTATGATGAATGACACACTTATAACCATGCTTTTGGTAGGTTTCTGCCAACACATACCAACAGGAGGATGAAAGCAATTGACCAAGAAATACGATCATCACTTATGGGTATCATCAACAAAAGATTAAAAGCAATGAAAGCAGGGGAGCCTACCAACAATGACTTGTTAGGCATTCTCTTGGAATCAAATTACAAGGAATCTGAAAAAAATAGTGGTGGAGGAATGAGTTTAAGGGAGGTAGTGGAAGAAGTCAAACTATTTTACTTGGCAGGGCAGGAAGCGAATGCTGAATTGCTGGTTTGGACTTTGTTATTACTAAGCAAGCATCCTGATTGGCAAGAAAAGGCTAGGGAGGAGGTTTTCAAAGTGTTCGGCAATGATAAACCAGATTATGAAAGGCTTAGTCAACTTAAAATTGTAAGTTTCACATAATTGATGGCTTGGCTTCATTTGATGATAAGAATGACGCTAATCACTCTTCATGGAACAGGTATCAATGATTATACAAGAGAGTCTCAGATTATATCCACCGGTGGTTATGTTTGCTCGATATCTTCGTAAAGATGCAAAACTTGGAGACCTTACAATTCCTGCAGGAGTGGAGCTTGTAGTACCTGTGTCAATGCTACACCAGGATAAGGAGTTTTGGGGCGATGATGCCAGTGATTTCAAACCAGATAGATTTGCTGAAGGAGTCTCAAAGGCAACACAAGGCAAACTTTCATACTTGCCATTTGGATGGGGTCCTCGACTCTGCATAGGACAAAATTTTGGCTTGTTAGAAGCAAAAATAGCTGTGTCCATGATCCTGCAACATTTTTCCCTCGACTTTTCCTCGTCCTACACTCATGCTCCATCCTTTATTATTACTCTTCAGCCTGAGCATGGGGCTCATCTTGTTTTACGTAAACTGTAGAAGAATGCACTTTAGTCGTTAGCTAATAAAATTAGGCTTCTTTTTTTGAAACCTATGTGTATTCTTAAGGAATTTGTAATGTTAATTTTGTGTTTGTATGTTATGGAGATGATAAATCTGAACCTTTACATTACTAAAGTCTGTTTCATCACCTGTTTTTGTTTATGATCGTTAAACCATTTTATAGGAAATCTGAACTTACCTGGCAATACGAATTGAAGTTGAGTGTTCCACTACCTTTGCGTCAGAGGAAATATCGATACCCATCTTACTTCATTATAATTGAACCTCTGGTAAAAATTATATATGTCATTGCTAAAAGGGTATTTTAAATTTAGAGTTCTAATTTAGTTTCAAAACTAATTATTTTAATGTAAATTATGTAACCCCTTTAAGATTATTTGGGCAAATATTAAAAAAAAGAATAACTTTTAAGAGGATTGGAAGGTTCTTCATGCAAATTTGCAATTTTTTGTCTTTTTGATAAAAAAAAAATATTTCTTACTAAAAATGAAATGGTAAAATGATGATACATGACATTTTCCTATGCACTATACTACTGATATCTGCGGCTTATCTATTTTTTTTTAATAACTAATTATCAAAATAATTCAAAAATTAATTTATTTAGATTTTTTTGTTATGTCACTGCTTAGTCCGGCAACTCATAAGTGTGAAACTTATTTTTTATTATTTTTTTAAAAAATTATATATGTAAAAGACAATTTATTTATTTATTTTAACAATTTTTTCTATAGAAGTGAAATTTAAAAAATAATGACGCGTATCAAAATTTTATATAATTTTGTTTATATATTATATTAAATTTATTTTTAAAAAATGTTTTGAGTAATATTTATATTTTATATAGAACATTAAAAAGATATATTTATGTACTTAATTGGAAGTGACATCATCCATCAAATTCTAAACGTTACTTGCACCTAGGGATGAAAATAGATAATACTATTCTAAGTCATGTAGCCTAATCTTTTTAAAGCTTAGGCTGGCCTAATTTATTTAATTAATATGTTTAATTTAGATTTTTTTAAAATTTAATTAATTAAATAAGTTTAATTTGAGTTTAAAAAAAAATTATTAGACTTATTTAAAATTTATAAAATTTATAATAATATATTAAATAATTTTATATAAAAATTATAATAAAATAATATATTAAATTAATTAAAATTTTAGATTAAAAATTCTAATATTTTTTGTTAAAGTTAAAGAATGTTTCTACTATATAATCTCTAAGAAAGTGAACTCTATTGAATATCTCAATACGATATACTTATTTAAATGATTTAATAGCCTATTAATAAAGAAACTTAATGACCTACTAAATGTCTTAATGTAAAATAGCCTAATAGGCCAACTTAGACATTTAAAAAGGTTAGAGTAGGCTTAATAAAAAAAAGTGATAGGTTAAACTTAGACTTTAAAATTATTAAACAAACAGAACCTATTTATGTAAAGTCTAACTTAGCTTAGCCTATGTCATTATATTGTATGAATATATTTAAATTTAAATAAAAATATAAATATATAATAGATTAAAATATCATTAATATTAAAGAATTTTAAAATTACATATACATAAGTATAACAAGATATATCTTTCTTTGTTAATGATAAAATTTATGTTTTATTAGTTAAAACTAATATATATTTTAATACAAAAGTTATAACGAGATAGTAGAAATTTTTTATATGTTAATAAATTGTTATTTTGTCTAGAACTTATAAATTGTTGTTTTGATAGAATGAAACTAATTTGAATTTTTTTGAATTAATTTTAGATGTTGGAATGGCAACGAGTATGTGCATCGAGGAGGTTAACTTTATGGGAATGGAGATTCATTTATGAATTACTTAGTTGCAATTTGACATACACTTAATAAGCAAAAAGGGTTAAGGAATAGGAAAAAAAAAAAGTAAGAAGAAAAATTTCAGTGATACATAAGTTGTACAGATCAATTGGGATTGGAAAGAGAACATGTTTCAAGCGGAAAAACAAGTTATGTGACTCTTCGAAAGAAAATAAACATTTATCAACGGTTGATTTTAAGTTGATTATATTATAAAATAATTCAATTTAAATTAATAAAAAAAGTCTTAATTTTCTTACTTTGCACATTTTTTTTAAAATATAGTTAAATTCTAGAATTGTGTGTCTAATGTAAAAACACGTCTCTAAATAGTTTTAATAAAATTTTTAAATAGAGTCATTTTAGGAATAACTATTTTTTTGTTGTACAGAGTGACTTTTTAATATAGTATTTAATTTTCATTTAAAATTTACCTCTTTATTTGATTTTATTCAATGTAAATAATATTTATTATTAATATTTAAAATAACTTTGGAAAGATCTTACCAACAAGGAAATTTGTAAGAATTTTTACATCTTAAATTTTGAGATAAAAGTAATTAAAATAATTGTTTAAACAATATCTCAAAATTGTTACTCGGTTTTAAGAAGTGCTAAATCAATAAAAAAAAGTTTTTAAGTAAAAAACATCCCCATATTATAGACAAAGACAAAGCAAAAAGAAATTTAGTAAAAGTAAAAATTTTGGAGAATATCTTTTAAAATGTGTTTTTTAGAAGTCTTTTTTATTCAAAAAGTAATTTCGATATTTTCAGTCCTTTAACTTATTTTTAATTTTAAAAATTCAGCAATATGTGATAGGACTCAATTTTTATGGTAAGTCAAGAAATTTATAAGATTTTTAAAATACTTGTATTTCTCAAAGGTACATACCTCTCAAATTATTTGATAGATCTCTCTTCTACAACATAGAAAAAAATATAAGTCATCTTCTAAATATATTTTTTGGTACAAAAGAAAGAGGGTTTGAACTCGAAAGGAGAGAGTTTAGTCTTGTGTTTTGTGAAAAAACTTAACACCTTGTTGAGCTCTTGAATGTTTTTTAGCACTTCATTTATCATTTCTTGATATTTCCCTTGAAGCATGGAATAAGGTGAGAATTGACCTAAGACCTTATGATTTAACATATAGTAATAGTCATATGACTTCTAATAAAATATACATGTAAAAATAATTAAGGATCAATTTATTCTTAAAGTCTTGAATAACTTTTCTTTATTAATTTATTTTAATATAGATTTTTATTAATTTAACTATTGAATTAAGGATTCACATTAAGTACAATAAGTTCACAAAATTTTATTTAATTTTAAAATTATTAGATAATTATAAAGTAACTCACAAAATAGTCCTTTTACTCTTTTTTTTCAATAGTATGTCCTGAAAATTAAATCCTAAATATCATTTACAAATCACTTTTAAATTTAACTTTTGAAAATAATTTATGTTATTTGAAAATTAAATTGTAGAGGTCATTTGTAAGTCATTTCTAAAATTTAAATTTCTAAAGTAAATTATATATCTTCTGAAAATTAAATTTCAAATTTTATTTGTAAAATTACTTTTGAATTTTAATTTTTAGAATGTATTAAGAGCTTGTTTGCTTCCCAACTGGAAAACCTACAATTGATTCTTCTCAATGATTTTTAAAGGACAGTAAATTAAGTTTTAAAAGTTCTTTTTTCTTTTGTAAATCTTAAGATTCTTACCAACAATTTTTCAAATACTTAGCGTACATCACTGAAAGGATATTGAGCCTATTAATTTTAGAGGTATATAGACCAACAGATATAGAAAAGCCTATTTTAGTAAATGTATACAACTGCCAATATATGATATAAATGATAAGTGCAACAATTTTTTAGTGTTCATCCAATGTTTTCTCCACCATTCAAAGAACTGTAAATTTTTTTTTTACAAAACTTAAGAATACCTCCCTGTTAAGTTCAAACAGATTCTGTACCCTTAAAACAATTTTACTAAAGAAATGTCACCCTCGCAAGATATAAGAATAATAAATACTATAGAAGTACAAATGAATACATCTTAAAAGATTTAATAATCTCACAAAAATATAGCATATAAAGCTTATAAAAAAACTGAAACATCTCAATTTGTTTCTCTTTTTCACTGTTCTGCATATGCTCTTTTGTGAATAACGTCATTTGAGCATTCCTTTCCTTCCTTACAAGGTAGCTGTGATGTGTATTATACCCCATAGCTGCGGACCCCACATTGTGTCTCTTACAGCAATTATCCATGAAAACGATGTGGATTCTTCTGTCTACTCACAGGACTATGACTTAAAGTTGAGTCCTTGTCAGAGAGCTCTCATGACGAGTCAGGGACGTGGTGAGAGGATATCCTTAGCATCTATTATGATCACATTTACTCACAAGCAAATTCAAAAAGCAACTATTTTGAAGGGCAACTTCCTGGCATTATTAGTCTGGAAACAAAGGTATCAACAATATTTCAGAACCGTCTAGCATTCAGTTTATACATGACCTGAAGCATAATGCAAGACAAGAAGCCAGTAAAACGATTATAATGGAATTCCGATTCTCTGGACTTTAGCAGTTTCCTACCTTTTTCCACCATTATTTTTCTCTAGATTTAAAAATTAAAAAAAATAATATATATATATATATATATATATATATATATATATATATATATATATATATATATTTCCTCACTCAATACTAGAGCCCCCATGATGGTATCAACCCCTTCTATGAATATTAGAGTGTTCTTTGATATTACAAAATCAAATTGAGTAAAACAAGCAAGTTTAACGGAAAATTCTGCTTTGCTCCTCTAGTGTCATACTTTTCAACAATTACTTCTTCCTTGTCCAGAAAAAAAGATTTTGTCATCCCCTCAAATTGTATATTTTTAATACAAGATAAAATACCAAAAGAAATGGTGAAAATTTAAATAGAGTATAAAATCTTATCGCTCAAGTATTCAAATTATCTATGACATTAAAACAAGCAAGTTTACATACAATTTTCTGTTCAGCTGCTCGAGTCCCACATTAGAAGTATGAGTCTAGCGTAGGATTTATAAGGCCCTGCATTCTGCCACTACAAGCTAAGCTTTTGCAATGTGCTTCTCCCAAGGTTCGTATTAAAAGGCACATAATTACCTGGTGGCTAGTGACAGGGTTGTTGCCCTGGAAAAACTTGATGGTTTTGAAGTAGAGCGCATTGTATTGATGAGTTTCAGAAATCAAATGATAATTAATTAGCAAAGACAAAGGATGGGTCAAAAGTAAAACAGAGCTTCCTCGGTTCATAACTTTCCATATTTCATATATTGAAATCAAGAGATGACATAACTGTAAGAAAGTCTCAGCAATTTTTCTTCCTTTTATATTATTCTATGTTAAGCAATGGAACCATAGCATATGAAGACATCATTAGAGTAACAATAATTGGTGCTTATAGGTTTCCATAAACTTCACAAGCATGAAAAATTAAAAGCTACCTAAACGGGTTCTCCCCTTGTTTCTTGAGAAGATCAAACACAAAATATAATCACAATCACTACAAGTTTATAAATCTTGCCTTTTATCAAGCAAATTACTAGTAGACGAGTAGAAATCATTTGCTAAAATTTGAACTGAGTATATCAAACACAAACACAAAAGATTCTTCACAAGATGCACCGTGAAACACTGACTATCATTTGATTATGTAGACTGTAGATTATTGAACAAGGAAAAATGAAAGTAACATTGAACAAAGAGAAAGAAGTTCTGGTGAGAAGAGGAAGAAAATACCTCACTTTGCTGTGGTGAAAGTTGCAATAACAATGCAACAGCAGTGATCAGTGAGAACAGCAGACAGCAATGGTGATGAATTCTTCAACCTTCAGCAATGGCAGAGTACTCTCATGTTTTAGGGTTTAAAAAATTTGAAAATGGAGATGATTTGGAATTCTGAGATTTTGATAAGGGTTTTATTTTACTAATATTTTAGTACCAGCTACCCAAAATGTTTAAAATAAGAAGCACCTGAAATTAGCTTCCATATACGCTCTATTAAAAATTTTATCCAAAAATCACTTTTGGACTACAAAAGTACTTCATCCAGTAGAAAAATCTAATAAGCACTTGTGGGGCTGTATCTAAACAGGTTGAAAGTACTGTATATCACGTATTCTTCATCTGCTGTCAAACAATGGCATTGTATGATTAAATATTCATACATTATCAAATTAATTAAAAATGTGAGACCAAATCATCACTGAAATGTAATTCAAACAAGAATTTGTTCATAATCTGCTAGTGAACAGTCAAACAAATATTTGGAATAGAGACAAACAAGACTTGCCAAGTAAAAACTACTAAGACTCAAATATTAGCATAACAATTCATAGGAGCACCTACAGCAAAAGGAAGGCCAAGTGAGACAACAAGAATGACTATGCTGAGATCGAAGGAAACCTAAACATGAAGATAAATGGTCAAAACATTGGTACTTCCATTCATTGTATTTCATGGCAAGGGACAAATAATTGTTTAGCATACTTACCTTACTAATACATCCCAAATGTGTGGAGTCATAAAATGACACGGGTGAACAGAATAAAACAGAAATAAAGAAAGTTCCTTTCACTGATAATTGAACAAATACATTGTTTATATTTGTCAATGCATTGAATTAAGCAAATGAATAATTTACTAAGTAATATATTATAATTTAGCGAATCAATTGGTCATGTTAGTATACAAGTAACGTGATGAACACTTGGAAAGCAAATTCAACTTCAGATCCAGACATCTGCATTCCAAAATTTGTGGTTGAACTCTGAAGCACCGATATTGAGTTATTCTGTTCTTCAAGTTTGCATATACATTTTCTCTATGAAAGGTGGGTATGGTTTACTCACATCAAAGATCATCCTTAAACAAAGCCTTAGAAACTGAGCCACTTGTTTGACTCCCATTAGCCAGGTGATTATCATCATCTGAACCACTTGTCCATGGGTTTGAACGTTTGTTTCCTGCCATTGGGGTCTCACATACAGTGCCATAGCTTGCCCTTTGTCGCTCCTTTCCTTTTGATACCTTCCGAAGGGGACCTGTCTTGGTTTTCATAACCTTCTGTTTTGGGGCCCAGACTCTCTGTAAATCAGGCATCCAACTTGTGAAAGATGAAAATCTCCGTGCCCTCTCTCTCCTCTCCTTAGCTTCAATAATTTTTTTATGTTCATTCTCTAGATTCCTTTGGAATCTTCCACTCTCATCCTTCTGCAAATGATAGGATTCATTTTCCGCTGAAACAGGTTCATTACTGACATCATTTTCACCCACTTCATCTCTGTATGCTTTTTTGTTCAAGGATTTGTTGCTGTCCTCACTGTTGAGTAAACTATGTGGGGCTTCATCCTCATCAGCAAACAGCAGCAGGTCCATTTTATTGTAGATTTTCTGAACCACATCTTCAAGACCGAGTGAATACCTGAAATTTTAGGGGTTTAACTATCATATGTCTACAAGCTTTCTCTACATTACCCAGTACAAACCTAATTCCACTATTTTCATGGAAAAAGATAAACAGACAGAAAGAGCAATCAATTAACATATAAAATATCTCAGTTACTGTATATAAAGTTGTACCTGTCTTTTATGGTCTTTGCCACATAATTTTCAAGGTTCCAATCACCAAAGAATCCTCCTTTCATGTGGCACTGAATGCTCTCTAAAAGCAGGCATATTTGTCTTACAAACTTTTGTTTGTTGGAATCCTCAACTCCAGTTCCAACCTCTGATAGTAAAATCTCCATCCGAAATAAAATCTGCAGTTCATATCTAATCCTCACTAAGGAAAAACCAAAAAAACAAAGAAGAAATGAAAGTTCCCAAATTACAGTTGACTAGAACTATCAAACAAAAAAGGAATCACATGCAGAAATTAAGGTAAAGTGGGAAACTTTATCAAAGGATACTCTCTAACAACATGTTCTGTAATTGATGTAGCAGGTACTGAATTGGATGCCTCAGAGAATGGATTTTGGCTTTTATGCTTTGCAGTTATCTCCTTGGGCTCCCTTAATAGAAGTTTTATCAGTTCAGATGCAATCATGCCACCACAAGTACCATAATCTTTTAAAGGAGAATGACTCTGAGAAATAGTTTGCCTATCAACCTTCTGACATAGCCAGTGTATAGATGAAGTCACAAGTCGCGTAGCCAAAGCCCCCAGGTCAATGACTTCAGATTCAACTGCCCAATTGATCTTGTTCGAAAGATTACTGAAAAATGCTTCAGACGTTTCTGATTTAAAATCAAGCTCAGTTTCGTCCTGTATTCTCATAGCTTCAGGCTCAGGGTTAGTTTCAGCTGAGGCAAATGAGGAGATTGGCAGTTCACGATTTTGAGTTAAGTCATTCAATTTACTGTTAAGCTCTTCTACATCTGTCAGGTTTGGCTTGAGTTTTTCTGTCAAAGCAAGATCCCAACAGCCAGATTTCTTCATCTGTTTCATCCAACATTTCAGAAATTTCAACTTTTTTGACTTGTTGCATTCCAATGCATAATAAACCTCAAGCAAATCTATCTCAAATTGATCATACACAGAATTACAGAATGAGCTCCACGTGTGGTTTTGAATCATATTCAAATCCATCCTTTTCTTTTTCTGATGACCCTCATTCTTGTTAAATTTACAAACAGGTTTGCAAATTTCATCATCCACCATCCTAACATATTGAGCCACATTTGCTTCACCAAAATCACAAGCCACAAGTGGATCCCCTAATACAGACAAGAGAGCAGAAAAAACAGTAAAAGGCCGTAGAACTCCCAAACATGAACCACCTTTGTCATTTGTAACAGACACCAATGCCCAGTAACCTTCCTTATAAAGAAAACTCAAGAGCATTTGCCAAACAGGTACCGACTTCCGGCGCCACTGACAACCAAATTCACACGCAACAAGTTCAAGAACTCTATCCGCAAAAACCTCATCAAAACCTTCCTTGTTTTTCTTCTTCAATTCCCCTAAAACCTCGCGCACAAGAACTGACTCAGACAACCACTCCCCTACATTAACAAACGCATCACACCTCCGCACAACCTTAACCTCCAATCTCACAATCCCACCTAAACACAGCTCCCAAAACCGCCCCATTCTCTCACACCCCCCACCTTGCAAACTTGACAACTCTGAATTCCCCCAAACATCCGCACCCCTATCCAAAACCTTCAAATCAACAAACTCAAGGTCACAACAATTATACTCAATAGGCCTCCCATTCACATCCAAGATCCCAAGACTCAGCTCCGCACGAACATCCCTTTCAGAACAACAAAATTTCCCCCACGAAACCCCAATCTTGGGATAAACCAAACCAAAGGGAACAACACCCGAACCTAGCAGAATCGAGTCCAAACCACAAAAGCCCCATCCCAAACTCCGAAGCCCAACCTCAAACAAGCGATGAATCTCTCTAACCTCGTAATTCTGAATATCAGTCTCGATCACGCCATTAACCCCAACCCAACTACAATAAATCCCCTTGGAAGTAAAAGCACGACTAACATTACCGAAAACCGAAAGAAGAGTCTGACCAAACGAGGAAGGACAAGAAACGACGTCATTTTGGGCGTGGAGAAAGGAGGCGAGAGAGAGGAAAGTGGAGAAAGTGGGAGAGAACAAGAGAACTAAATTGTGTGGGACGGGTTGTGGGGCGTGGTCAGGGTGTTCCCAGGGGTAGTCATGGAGGAGTTGAGAGAGGGAAGAGGCGAGGTGAGAGGCTTTGGGGGAGCGGTGGTGTTGAGGGAATGAAGGGAGAGAAGAGAGGGTGTGAGAGAGGAGTGTGAGGGTGTGGGAAGGGTGGTCGAAGGAGAGAGAGTGGGAAGAGTTGGGGAGGAATGGGTGGAGCTTTGAGGCGGAGAGGAGAGGGGAGAGGGACGAGAAGAAGGGTTTGAAGGCGAAGAGAGAGGAAGATAGGGGAGGGAAGGAGAGGAGGGTTTTCAAGGCACAGATTAGTGCTTTGATGTAAGTGTTGGTGTTGTGGTTGTTGAGGAGTGGGTCAAGGTCTATGAGGAGTACGATGCGGTGGGTTTGGGAGTAGCATGTCAGTGGATCTGAATCTGCACCCATTTCAGAGTGACAGGGAAGAGGGAATGAGAGGGTTTTAATATGAGTTCAGAGATCAGAGGAATGAAACGGGGAATATTTTGTGCCGGGAAATTGAGAGAGAGAGAGAGAGAGAGAGAGGGAAATAAGTGTTTGAAAAGAAGGAGAACGGATGAGCTTAGGGGGGAGGAAGAAACTGTGTCGTTTAAGTCAGGGGTGTTGTGTTTAGCCTCAGTTCCCATTTTACTTTAAAACGTCATTCAAAGTCTACATAAGTTAAAAATGTATTTCAGTTTTCTGTTTGATTCAATTTGAATATATAACTAGTAAATATATTTCTTGCTCAAGTTTTGCACGATTATATTTATATTTTTATTATTTAATTTAAAAATAATTATTTTTAATATTACAGAAAAATAAAAAATATAAAAATAAATTTGGTTAATTTTATAAATATATATATATATATATATAAATATAAGTGATTCAAATATTTTAAATTTTAATAATTATAAATTAATAAATATATATGTAGATTGTACAGATTTATTTATATTTTTTTGTTAAATTATTTTATTTTGAAATAAAAAAAATATTATAATTTAAATATAAAATTATGTAATGATAAAATTTTATTATATTGAATAATATGAAATATAATTATATTAAAAATATAATAAATTTATTTTATATATAATTTTTTATATTTTTTTTATCTTCTTCAATAATAAGAACTTTTATTTTTTAGTTATTGTAACATAAAAAATAAATTTAAAAGATCATGAAAGGGAAATTAAATAGTAAAATATTTTAATTACTTTTAAATATAAGTAATGTAAATATATTGTTTTATTATTATTATTAAATATTTAAAAATAAAAATACACAAAAATATATATTAATGAGTAGAAATATAACAAAAATATTTTTCAATAAACAATGAAATTTAGTATTATATTAAATTAAGATCGAGTTGAATGAAGTTTAATTTTATTTTTTAAACAAATTGAAACAATTTAATAAATTATATATAAAATTATTAATTTATAATTTTAAAATAATATATTTAAATTTGATTTATAATAAGTAAATATATATTAATAATTACTTATTTTTATTTAAAATAATTTTTAATTTTAAAAATATAATATTATAAATAATTATATCAATATAAAAATATATATTTATCTTAATGTTTTCAAAACATTTAAAATTCAATTTTAATATAAAAAATTTTATTGATCACATAGTTAAAATATAAATTGTTAATAAATAAAATATAGTTTGAAATACTAATATTAAAATTTGATTTATGTCTTTATTTGATTGTAAACTTCTTTTTGAGATTGTAAAAAAAAATATTTAAAATGTGAAGTAAATATTAAAAAGTTATAGAATTTTAATTCTTTTTTAAAATAAAATACACACACACACATATATATATATATATAAATTAAATATAATATTTAAACTTAATTTAAATTTAATATATTATTTATTTATTTATTATATATAAAAATACTAAATATGCATATTAACAATTACTATAAGATTTTAATAATAAATTTATATACTATCTTTTTATTATAATGATATGTAATATTATTTAATTTCTTCTAATTATTGTAAATAATTAATTTTAAAATAAAAATTTAAAATTTAAAATTATTAATGTAAAATTTAAAAATAAATAATACCACTCTTAAAATTTAATTAAAAAAATATTTTAGTTAAAAGATGAATAAGTAGAAAAAAAATTATAAAAATTTTAATTATTGTATTATTATTTGATTTTGTCATAATCAAAATTTTATATAAATTTTTTGAAATTCTCATACTTAAAAAAAATAACAGATTTTGTAATATTAATATTTTCAATAGTATATATATAATTTAAATTTTAATATTAAAGTAATAATAAATAACACATCTAGTTAGACGATTCGAGTCAGATTCGAATTAAATTGAACAAAAAATAAAAAAAAAGGTGATAATAAATAAATAAAAATTTAGTTAAAAAAATAAAATATTATCAATAATTATTATATTAAAAAAATTGATATAATTTCTATATCCAAAAGAATTTATATAATGAATAACATTTGGTATATTAATATTAACATAAATCTTTATTGATAATAATTTAGAAATAAAAATATCACCTATAATACATGATACCACTTAAAAATAATATATTTTAAGCATTTCAAAGTTTTTAATAAATTTTTATTAAATATAATTATGATTAATTTGTTATTCTATTTCTAACATGCACTGTTACTCATCTTGATCATTTTTGTTACTAATATTATATAAGATTTTAAATATTTTAAAATTTAATAAGTATGAATTTTAGTGTAAATGCATACATTAATAAGTAAGTATAGTTAATTTTATATAGATTAGTTTATATATTTTAATTAAATTTAATTAAAAAAAATATTTTATGAGTACTATAAAAATAATTAAAATTTAATAACGTTACATTTTATTAATTATATTTATTTATTATCAATATGTTTAAAATCTCATTAAGAAGTATATATCTATAACATGATATTTTATTATTTTTTAGTACTTATTTTTAAATATATTTATAAATATTTTTATTTATAAATTTTAAAATATGACATATATGATACGTCATATATAATTTAAATTTATACTATTGTAAATTAAATTACTTAAGAAAATATTGATAGATTTAATATAATTTAATTAATTAAAAATAAAATTTAATACATGATATTAATTAAAAATAATATAGTTTTATGATTATTCAACAAATTAAAATAAAATATATTAATATAATTTAATGAAAAGAAATTAAAAAATATCAGTATAAATAATATACGTACTTATTTGGATTGGTAACTCCTGACAGTTAATATAGGTGTAAATTATAAAAACAAAATAAAATTATAAAAAGAACTTTTAAAAACTTTACAAAAGTTATGTATGATAAAAATTATTTTTTATTTATATTATAGTTTATTTATCTTTTCATTATAAATATAATTTAATAATATAGAATATAAATTAGTGAGTACATAATTTTTTATCTCAACATTTTGCCTATCAACTTTGGCAACAAAGATGATATCATTAACAAAGAAACGAGGAGAAAGGTTGGGTCCAAAGCAACTAAAAGAGAAAGGAGTTCAATTACCACTATTAATTTTGTCATGAATTAAATTAGCAAATTTTTCTATTCACATAACAAATATGTAAAGGGATATAGAGTCCCCTTATCTAAAGCCACTATTAGGTTTAAAATTTTGAGTTCTACTATTGTTTCAATTTATAGTCATAGGGGGTGAAGAAATACAATGCTTTATAAGCTCAACAATCATCTAAAATCGGTTGCACTAATTTCCTCATATTCAAGGTTAATATTGAAATAATCTAAAATCGATTTTATAATTTCTTCATCATTTAGAGTTAGACCTATGTCTGTTGACTCTAAGACTTTATCTCTATACGATACATGTTCAGGAGGAATAGGGTTAGAAGGCATGTGATACTGATTTTTATCTACAAAACGATGTTCTTCTTGTATGTGCTCCTTCTAGGCGTCTATGGACAAATCTACGCCTGTCTTTATCTTTATGTGCCTTGATCAACCTAATCCATTGCTTCCTTTGGGCGCTTCTCTATCTCGTGTCGCTCTATCTCTATAAAATCCATTGGCTTAGGGCCTGAGCTCAAAATATGCTACTTCTAGTGCACCGTTGTTGTTACAAAAGAATATCATTGCACAGTTTCAAAGAACTAGGGCGAGAGCCCTATAATGGCACCCTCGTTTCTTGAAAAAGAGAAGAAGTTTCTTAAAGCCCCAAATAAAACTCTACCAATAATGCTATGCAAACACCCAGATTTGGTGTCTATACATAACATCGTATACTAACAAGTCTTAAATACAAGGTTGCATATTAGTTATTCTACACACATGAACATACTGCCTAAACTCAAAGTTAACTAAACTTAAAAAAATAAACTAAAACGTCGTGTAACTCTCCCGTCCACTGGCCCTTGGTTCCTCCTCTCTTCTTCTTCTTCTTTTTCTTCTTGAACAAATAAAAAAAAATTATTTGAATTGCAAAGCTACGTTGTTGTTGTCCATCTTCAAAAAAAAAAAAAATTCATTTCTCACTCTTAGGGACTATTCATTGTTACGTGACTCTCTCACTTGTTCTCTGTAGCCTACTCCTGGATATTTGCATATTGGCCCTCATTCGAGCCTTTGTATTGAAGATAGGTTGAAATACTGGTTGGGTATCAGTCTTCGTAGCATCACAGGTACTTTTAGTGTTCTCTTCTTTGGGTTTTCCACAATGTTGATGAGTACTCTGAAATCTTTTTAGATTCCTCTGTGGTAGCCTTATAGACAATGGTAGTTAGTGAATGTAGTTAATTTCACATATTAAGTTAGTATGTTTTTTACCTAGGTTCTACTAATTTAGTGTATAAGCTAATGCTAAATCATTTTACATATGTTTTCTGTTAATCCTAAGTATGATAACAATAATGCTATTATTTTAACTGTATAAAGATGGTTATTCACCATAAAAATCTAGTAATTCAATTTTCAATTTGATGGTAATTGAATGTAAAAAGTGGTAATGTTGCAGGGTGTACACAAATTTTTTCTACTTCGGTAATATATGTTAGTGAACTAACTTAATTAATGGCTAACATAAGGTTATTAAATTTTTATCACCAATATTAGGCCATAAGTAGGAAACTGCTACATTACCAGCATCTAAAATAAATTACATTAACAAGACTTTTCAAAATAAATTTTTGTGCAAAGGGTGATGATAAACAAGACTTTTTAAACCCTTGTTCATGATGTTAGTGGACATGATAATTTGACATTTGTAGAAAAGGATGTGAGAAACCACATTAACAAGGAAAGACGTTTGATTGCCAAGGAATGAGATTCAAAAGCAACATAGATGATATAATAAGTTTGTTGAATATGGTTACTTGGACAACACAATATTTTCTATTTGTTGTTATCAGTAAGATAGGACATAG